GAAAGGTTGGTAGTTTGAATTCAGATGCTTTGGGAAAAAAATATGGCAATCTGGTTCAGTAGGGATTTATGACATTGGAAACCCTTATAGGGCAGTTTTATTCTATCCTATAAGGGCGCAATGAGTAGAAATTGACTTGCGAGCAATGGGTTTGGCTTTTTGGATTTGTTTAATTCTTCAAGTAAATCTGATATGTTTGCTATTGATTACAGTAACGTGTTGTTAAGGGGGTTATCTACAAGATTTGGCTCACTTGAACACCTGGAATAACCTGTGGATTTTATATATGGGGTGGTGATGGTGGTGGTGATGCGCCCTGGCGTCAGTTCCGACCCATTAGTGACCTTGACAGGGTTCCAAGGCTGTAAATCTTTACAGGAGCAGAAAGCCTCATCTTTCTCCCACAGAACAGGTGGTAGTTTCAGGCTGCTAGAAGCCCAATTCGTAATCACTATGGTAAAACAGCTCCTTGTCATATATGCTGTTGTTGTTGTTAAGTGCTGTTGAGTCAATTCCGACCCTGTACAAGGTTTCCTTGCAGTTCAAACGACTTTGCAGTCTGATGCATTAGCCCACAGCACCACACTAGGGCTCAATATAAATGAAAACACATTCTTGAATCTTTAACAGACTGTCCAAGTTCTCTGTCAGCCACTTTATTCTACTTGTACATAAAACAGCAAAAATGAAAGTAATTAAGATTGCTTTTTTTTCCTCCCAATTTGTTTTCACGATTGTTCTGCTTTTTCCTGTTACAAATATTTTGTCTGTATGATTTTCAGCCTTACCTTCCTCTTTGCATTTCTCTCTCCAGAGAAGGTTGTCCTCAGCCAAAATTCTCCAGTAGCGACACGTCTGAGCCGCTTGTAGCAGATCTTTGGGTTCCAGGAATGAAAGTACATATAGTGCCAGCTATGAAAAAGAAAAAACATAGTATTCACATGCTTAAAAAAAAAAAAAAAAAAGTCATAAAAATAATAAGTTAATTATTCTATAGTGGATGAAATACAGAGAAATTTACTGAATTCTACATTCTAATTTCTACATTATCAATGACGGTACCTTTCAATAACAAATTGATATCCATTTCAAAAACAAAGAAAAATACTCCATTAGTTTTCATGAAAATTGTTTCACTAATTCCTAGTAAGTATCAAGGAAAATTGATTAAATCTTTCTATTTATGCTCTTGTTTTTGTTTTGTAAGCCACAAACTCATAAAAAAAAAGTTCATTCTTAATGATTTATCTGTTATTAGATATATCATTAATAAAAATTCTTGAAGAGGACCTTAATATAAAATTCTTGAAGAGGACCCTTAAAGGCTTGCTCAACAGAAGTTTTTTGAGTGATTTTAGATAATTTCTTATACTTAGATATAATCAATAGTTCTTCATCAAATCCGTGTTTATTACCATAATGATGAGCTTTCCAAGCATCTACAATCTTGCCTATGAACGGCAAAGAAGAACAATCATTAAATAGTTGCACAGACATATAAAAGGGGGCATCAAAAAGTTCATGGAAAAAAAGGAATTAGAAAATAATCAAATTTTTCCACAGACAATGAAGGTCTGTCATAAAATAATTAGGTTCTAATTGGGATGGAAAGGTTGGGAGCCAAGAAAAGAATCAATAGTTGGAAAATAAGCCCTTGGTGATAGAAATGATGCTGGAGAACACATGATAGAATTCTGCAAAATCAATGATTTGTTCATTTCAAATGCCTTCTTCAGAAAGCATAAGAGATGACTAGACACATGGACCTCACCAGATTGAATACATAGAAATCAAATTGATTACATTTGTGGAAAGAGATGATGAAAAAGCTCCATATGATCAGTCAAAACAAGGCCAGGGACAGACTGGGGAACAGACCATCAATTACTCATATGCAAATTCAAACTGAAGCTGAAGAAAATGAAAACAAGTCCACAAGAGCCAAAATATGAACTTGAATATATCCCACCTGAATTTAGAGATTATCTCAAGAACAGATTTGATACATTAAACATTAAAGACCGAAGACCAGAAGAGTTGTGGGATGACATCAAGAATATCATACAGGAAGAAAGAAAAAAGTCATTAAGAAGACAAGAAAGAAGGAAAAGGTCAAAATAGATGTTAAAAAAGACACTGAAACTTGCTCTCCAGTGTAGAGACGCTAAAGCAAATGGAAGAAATGAGGAGGTCCAAGAGCTTAACAGAAAATTTCAAAGATCAGCTAAGAAGATAAAACCAAATATTACAATAAAATGTGCAAAGATCTGAAATCAGAAAACCAAAAAGGAAGAATATGTTCAGCATTTCTCAAGTTGAGGGAACTGAAGAAAAAATTCAAACCTTGACTTTCATTACTGAAAGATACTCTGGGCAAATTATTGAATGATGCAGAAGGTATCAAGAAGAGATGGAAGGAAGACAGAGTTACAGTACCAAAGATAACTGGTTAATGTTCAACCAATTCAAGAGGTAGCATACGATCAAGAGCCTATGATACTGAAGAAGGAAGTCCAAGGTGCATTGAAGGAATTGGCAAAGAACAAGTCACCAGGAATTGATGGAATAAAAATTGAAATCTTTCAAGAAACTGAAAAGGCATAGGAGGCACTCACTCATCTCTGCCAAGAACTTTGGAAGACTATCTGGCCACCGACTGATTGGAAGAGATCCGTATTTGTGCCCATTCCAAAGAGATATGACCCAATGAAATGCAGAAGTCATCGGACAATCTCTTTGATATCCCATGAGAGTAAAGTTTTACTAAAGGTAATACAGAAACGGCTGCAAGCATACGGTGAAAAGAGAACTTCCAGAGGTTCAAGCCGGATAAAGAAGATGCCGTGGAACTAGGGATATCACTGCTGATGTCCGATGGATACTGGCTGAAAGCAGAGAATATCAGAAAGATGTTTACCTGTGCTTTATTGACTATGCAAAGGCTTTTGATTTAGTGGATTATGACAAGCTATGGAGAACATTGAGAAGTATGAGTATTCCGGAACACTTAATTGTGCTCATGAGGAATCTGTACATGTTCCAAGAGGCAGTTGTTTGAACAGAGCATGGGAACAGTGAATGTTTTAAAATGAAGAAAGGTGTGCGACCAAGGTTGTATTCTTTCACCAAAATTATTCAACCTGTATGCTGAGCAAATAATATGAGAAGCTGGGTAATATGAAGAAAAACATGGCATTAGGACTGGAGGAAGACTCATTAACAACCTGTGATATGCAGATAATACAACCTTGTTTGATGAAAGTAAAGAGGACTTAAAATATTTACTGATGAAGATCAAAGACCACAGCCTTCAGTATGGATTACATCTCAGTGTAAAGAAAACAAAAATCCACACCACTGGACCAATAAACAACAGTCTATCAATGGAGAAAAGATTGAAGTTGTCAAGGACTTCATTCTTCTTGGATCAACTGTCAACACTCATGGGAGAAGCAGTCAAGAAATCTAATGACGTATTTCATTAGGCAAATCTGCTGCACAAGACCTTTTCAAAGTGTTGGAGAGCAAAGAAGTCAGCTTGAGGACCAAGGTGCACTTGAACCATGCCATGGTATTTTCAATAACCTCATATGCATGTGAAAGCTGGACAGTGAATAAGGAAGATCGTAGAAGAAGTGATGTTTTTGAGTTATGGGGTTGGAGGAGAATATTGAAAGTGCATGGGCTGCCAAAAGAACCAATAGATCCGTTTTGGAATAAGTGCAGCCAGAGTGCTCCTTGAAGGCCAAGATGGCCAAACTTCATCACTCATACTTCGGACATATTGTCAGGAAGGACCTGTTGCTGAAGGATATCATATTTGGTAAGGTGGAGGGTCAGAGAAAAAGAGGAAGACTCCCAACGAGATGTATTGGCCAAGTGGCAACATTGATGGGCTCAAGCGAGGCAACAGTAGTGAGGTTGGCCCAGGACTGGGCAGTGTTTCCTTCTGCCGTACATAGGGTCGCTATTAATCGGGACCAACTCGATGGCACCTAACAACAACAATAATGTTGAATAGCTTATGGTGATTTTTTTTTCCTGATGTGTTAAGAGTTGTTTCTTTGAGCTAACTCTTTGGTATATACCACCAATCTGAGTATTTTGTGTCTAATAACTGGAAAACATACTTTCTTTTTTTCTTTGAATAAAGTCAGTTAAGATAATGAAGGATGAGGAAAGAGAAGAAAAAGAAATAATAGCTTCTGCATAGTTTGTGTACATCACTTATTCTCAAAAATTACAAAAAAATGTAAGTTACTAGGAGAAAAATTATCTTCAGAAAGCAGTAAAATTTAGTTTTCATATAGATTAAATTATAAGGATTTAAATGAAGTATTATTTAAAGGGCTAAGTAAGGGTCACACACACTAACAACACAATTTGAATTTTTAAAAATAAACAGTACATGATATAAAATTAAGTGTTCCTAAAGGTTTTGTATCAAGTTCATCATAAATTTACTTACTACATTTTATTTATATACAAGGCACTCCCACCAGCCAATATTCAATTTAATAATTTTAACTGTGATAAACATTTATGTAACAAAACATTTACCATTTTAATTTAGTAAGACTATTGAAAGGAGCTCTGGTAGCGTAGTGGTTACGAATCGGGCTGTGAACCTTAAGGCCGGCAGTTCGAAACTACCAGCTGCTCCACGGGAGAAAGATGAGGCATTCTGCTCCCGTAAAGATTTACAACCTCGGAAACCCTGTACAGGGTCGCTATGGGTCGGAACCGACTCGATGGCACTTAACAACAAACAACAATTGATGAAGGACTCTGAAAAATGCTTTGCCGAGTAGTAACGTTGTCTTTCAGAGAATATAAGTCACTATTAAGTGTAGAAACCAAGTTGTTTAAAATACAAATGCTTAACTCTATTCTATAAAATATGTATATACACACACATATATACGCCATTGTACAAGTTAATAGATATATAAACCATTGAATGTTGAAATTATCAACCCAATTCAGAACTGTATACTTTAGTTATCTAGTTGTAATTACAGGAATATTTAATGCATCTTAAAAGTCAGGAAACAACATATGCAGAACAACTTAGATTTCAAAAGTACACGTAGGTCACAATCAACAAGCAAAGCTCCTTCCAAGATTACGATCAAGAGATCATTCTAGCTGAGAATCTGCATAGATTGCATAAGACTGTAAAATGTTCAAGTGCTAACTCCATAGGCATTTGACACTTTCTTTTAAATTACCAAAAGCCCTAACCAAACTTTGAACTTCAACCTATCAAATGTTTGCCTATTTACATCCAGCCAGTTCTACCAAAACATTATGTAGTATAGAAAATGCACACAACAAAACAAAAATATATGAAATAATGAAAAGCAGGAAAAATGTGGGTCAGACAAGGTTTGAACCAGAACAAAGCAGAACATACATATGCTGGTAATAATGTCATAAGCTTATTTAATGAAACTGCCAAGCAAAAAGGGACAGCCATCAGTTATACGATTCTTACTACATGGGGAAGCATATCAGTTGCTCAGAGGAAACATTAGTTTTCACGTAGGACTATCTACAGGAGACACAGAGTGGGCATGGACCTGAACTATATCTAAAGAACAGCAGAGGGGCTACAGGTCTAGTGTAGCCAGGTCAAATGTCCTATACTAGGCAATTTTCTTTTCATCTGTATTCATAAAATCTAGATTCGTAATTTTTCTTAAGGACCACTTCTAGCAGACAGAACTCTGAAAATGAGTGTTTCAGATAATAACCCTAGCTTGCCTAAACTTGTTATTTGAATGAGAATTACTATTCTTTCTTTTACTGTAAGACCATGTTGTACATAAAAGACAGCCAGTACCTTCCCAGAATTACTGTATTTCAGTGGACTGAACTAATAAAGGGGAAGGGGGAGAAGGAAGGGAAAGAAAGAGAATAAAGAAAAATGTACCTAACTCTGTATTAAGAATTTCAGCTTTTGTTCTAGATCATTGACTCCATCGCTACACTTTCTTAGTATTTTCTTTCAAAATAAAAACAATGTGGTTTGTCACAAGCCTGTCATGTGAGACTACTGAGATTGTTGCCAAGGTTTTTGGATTAATAAGTAAACTAAGATGTAGAATTGTGAGATCTGTTGAAAGGAATTGTAAGAAAAATAAGTCTATTTTATGACATGAAGATAATAATGCACTAAATCATGATAGCACTTAGTCTCCAATAAAATCATGTTAATTTCCTTAAGGACGTAAAGCCCATAACACATAAAATATAGGAAACATTTTTTTTTCAAGTTGTTGTAAATAAAAGGAAAATATGATATGCTAAACGAGGGACAGTGTCTCACTGTTCTATCGGCCTTCATTTCTTTTTCCCTTTTTCCTAAGGTAATGCAATCCTTAAACAAAACACTCAAGCCAAGAAAATCTTTATTGCATTTATCCTGGTAGTAAAAATATTATCCTTAGTTCTTGTTGTTAAGTGCCCTTGAGTCGGTTCCAAACATAGCGACCCTATAAATGGTTTCCAAGGAGCGGCTGGTGAGCTTGAACCACCGAATCTATGGTTCAAAACGACCTTACTATCTAGCACATTATCCCACAGCACCACACCAGCAGTTAGTTCTTAGGATCTTAAAATTTCCCTTTACATTCTTCTGATTTTAAATCATATTTTTGCATGTAAAGAAATAACTATGGAAATTCAAACAAAACAAAAATCTCACCTTTTTTAAAGAGAAGGGACAAATTACATTATTTTTCACAAAAATATTACTCTGTAAAATAAGGACATCAAGGGACTGGAGACTACATCAAAGGTGAATTAATTCACTTTCAGTCAAACAGCTATAAAAGTGCTTCCTATTACTAATGTTCTTCTGGAAGCAAGAGAGCTCATGATGCTTTCAGAAGCCAAATCTATTCAAAGGGTTTAGTTTTAGAATGAGGCAGCAAGAATAAAAATTCTTTTCTGGGCCAATGTCATGCAAAAAATCAGTCTAAAGAGGAAACATTTCAGAAAAAAAGGATGTTTTCTCCACTTTTCTTTTTCCTACCTTAAATATTATCAACTATTTTATTCACATCTGATGTGAAATTGTAACTGGAACTATGTTTACTGCCCTCAGAATATTTTTAGTGGTTATCTGAAAGCACCAAGTCCTGTTTTGTTGAAATTTTAAGCTTTAGGACCATATGCAATGATATATTAGCAGTCCCTCATATACTGTCTTCTCAGCTGCCATAATCATTAGTAGCATATACATAATAATCTGTGAAGATATAAATCATGGTACATTCATGATTTAATGTTCTCATTAACCCAAATGTTTACATCAATAAAAGAACTACAAACTATACCTTATTTATGAATTACAGAATGGCTGTATGAGTGCTGGTGTGGTGCTGCAGGATAATGCGCTTGACCGCAAGGTCAGTTTGAACTGCAGGGTTGGTGGTTCAGACCCTATACAGGGTGGCCATAAGTCCAAACCAACTTGATGACAACAACAGCAACAGCACATGATCATAATCAATCCATGACCAAAAATAGTGTCAGATTAGAAATTCCATGTTTTTTTTTAAACGACTGTAAAATGTAAGTAGCAGAGAACTACAATTCAATACTAAACTTTGAGTCTGAAAAGAGATTTGGGATACACAAACAACAAATTAAGAATGTATTTATTATTGCTTTTAAAAATGAGAATCAGAAAAAGAAAAGACTACAATGAACAGACCACTGAGGAATGAAGAATAAAGTAACGGAATCTGACAGTTTATGCTGATTTGTATGATGTATTCCAGTGTTAGTTAATAAGCATACTTCCTTCTGAAAATTATATCACTAAGTCATGGAAGTTTTCCAATGATGTCCCTCTTTAACACTAATTAAGAGTGTTCAACTGACAATATAAAATACTATAGTTAGCATTAAAAATGTTAAAGTTGATAGCTAAGGAATTTTATATTTGTAGCACTCAATGAAGAATATAACTTACCTCTTTAGGGAGCAATGATATAAAGTCTCGTTGAAACTGGGGTTCTATCACTTGCATCATATGCTTTACTTGTGTTGGTTCACAACTATCAATTAGCTCATCTAAAGCAAGCAATTTCTCTGGTCCGCTCCAGCTCTAAGAGAAATTAGAAATTTTTGTTATTTTCACAGAGGTCCCATATCATAAACTGATGAAGGAAAACCCACATCTATATACAACCATATCTGAACAAGGTGATTTTACATAAAAAGTGGTAGCTTTCTTTGTCTTATCAAATTTATCAACTGCATTTGTTTTGTAAAGGTTAAAACAAGTATGGTTTTGCCAGAAAAAATATTTTGCATTATACAATGGTTGTAGGTTCATCCACAACCAAGATCCTATCCTGGTTGCAAAAGGTTTATTCCAGAAATATCAATTTGGGTTATAAGGAACTCCAACTGTTGATTTTCCTTTCTCTACATTCGTCCTACTGGGCATCATAAAATTTGATGGTTTTAATAAGGCACTGATCTAGAAGATTAGCAACATCATTTAGGAAAAATTAATAACTGGATTTACTGCACATCTGACAAGTGTCTTCCAGATGTTAAAAGGACTATGATTTGTTATATGAAAGTAACTTTAGATGAGCAATAGCAAAGAAAGAAAGTAGTAGTTGATTTAGACCATTAACAAAGACCAAAAGAGGGTAACAAACAAATTATTTCACTAACGAAAAACAAACACCACATAATTATAACTCAAAAATCATGCTTGGTAAGGTGGAGGATAGGTCAAAAAAAAAAGGAAGACACCCTCCCCCACCCCACCCCACCAAGAGATGGACTGACTTGGTGACAGCAACAATGAGCTCAAGCAAGGCAATGATTGTGAGGATTGCGCAGAACAGGCAACATTTCACTCTGTTTTGCATAAGGGTCACTATGAATTGGAATTGACTCGATGGTACCTAACAACAATAACATGGGGGAAGGGGGTAAAAACTAAATTTTTTCCTCAAAATAGTGAGGTTCACCTACACACAAAATAGTCATGAGTCTTTAAAAGCCATATGTATAAGTTAAAATGTTAGATTTTTCTCTTCGTAATCATACAAAACATTTAAATAACCTCATAATACATTAGTGAAAACACATCCATGGTCAGGACTCTGTTTTTGTAAATCTATGGAGTCCTGGTGTGGCGCTAAGGGTTGATGCACCAGACTGCAAAGCTGTTTGAACTGTAAGGTAGGTGGTTCAAGCTCATCAAGCTGCCCCTTGGAAACCCTCTAAAAGGGTCGTTATGGGTCGGAATTGACTCAACTAAACAAACAACAACATGCATATTTAAGTACCTTTGTGCATTATTACATCCATTTTGAAAGTGAGTCAAAAGGGGAGAAATACCTGAATTGACTTCATTTCTACGCAAATGAGTAACTTGGATTTTGCAACATGTAATAAAATGTGTCTATAGTATATATTACTTTTGACAGTATAGCAACCATTTCAACAGTGTTTAATTATACTCCTGGTGTGGTGCTGTAGGATCAGCACTGGACTGTGAACCACAAGGTTGGAAGTTCAAACCCACCAGCTATTCCTTGGAAACCCTATACTGGGTTGCTATGAGTTGAAACTGACTCGACTGCACTTAATAGCAACATATCCATAGTACTAATCACAAACACCTCATAATCAATCATCATAAAAACTCTGTGTTTTTCTCCATTTTACTACTGAATACAAGAAAACACTAAGGTATGTCTTTTCCTTTTACTTCTTTATAGACAATATACCCATAACATTTACCTTGAACACTCAGATTGAATCCTTTTGCCACAGATAAATGTATACATCAAAAACGTAAATGCCCATATGCATACACACGTTGGGTTTCCTCCACATAACTTCAACTCTCATTTCAAAGTTAACTTTTGACAACATAAACACTGATTAAGCTTAAACTCCTCTCTGACCATTTACCCTCAATCATACTAAGGGGAATTCAAAAAGTTCATGGAAAAAATCCATTATTTTTATAAATTCAAATTTTCTGTACATTTTTTACACCCCTTGAATAAACTCACTGAAATACATTCCCAAAACATTTGAGGTGGATTTTACAATATGTTATTCCTGTGTACAATAAAAGGTATTTATGGACACTAAGGCAAGAAGGTGCCCATTTTGGGTGATGGATAAGTATGCTGACTTGATTAGAGCATAGTTTTATTAATTCACTTTATAGCAGAATAATTTTAGTGTAAACTTCCAACTCTCATTTGTATATATTAACATCTGCTTTTAAAAAAGTTTTGGAGGTGTTTATGGTTATATTTTGAGTATGATGATATTCTGCGTAATCTTTTATAGAGAAAAGATAGCGAAAATCTTTTAATATACCATACTATATAGTCTCGTTTTACTAAATACTTTAATAGTTATTACATACATTTCAAACTTATGGTAGTAGGCTATAATATTTTTAATATCTTCCTTTTTTTTCTACCGATGTGTTTTTAAACTATTCTTAAAAGAGAAAACATAGGAAAATAATATTGAAGATACTAACAGATGAAAAAAATATTTTATCAAGGCTTTAGGTCATAGGGTGCAGAACCAAAAGAGAGAAGCAGAGTAAAAGATGAAACAGTTAATTCATATCTTGGGTAAATGTTTGAAACTGTCAGAAATCTCTACATATTGAAGACAAATTCTATGACCAAAAAAAAAAAAAAAATCAGAAACTTGAAAATATCTTGATTTTAAGTTATATTTATGAGGGGGCTTCAGAAAATTCATGGAAAAGTCCCATTATCTTTTAAGCCAAAATTTCCATGAATTTCTTGAAGTCCCTCCCCCATATATTCAGTAGAAATGGCCAACACACTTTGTGACATATTACTGAAAATTTATCACTGACAAAGATTAATAACATATGCTATAACTATCTAACAAATGAGACTGCTTCCATCTACCACACATATTTAACAGCCTAATCTCTTAAAACTACATTTCTTAGGTGGTTTTAAAAAGGTCTGGACCAATATAGGCAGCTTTCCTATTTCCAGCCTGAATTTCTTCCCTGAATGCCAGACTATATGTAAAATTGCTTACTCAACACCTATCCTTGGAGATGTATTAGAAATTCAACATGCCCAACACTGATCTCCTGATCTTTCCCTTCAAATTACACCTTCATAGTGATTCCCATTTCAGTAAATGGCAAAATCACTCTACTAATTATACAAACCTAAAATTCTGGAGTCATCTCTGACTCCTCCTCTCCATCAGATGAATCTGATCCATCAAAAATTCTATGGGTTCAAAATTCAAAATTTATCCAGAATTGACCCACTGATATTCTGGTCTAAGCTAGCATTATGTCTAAGGCCTGAATTATCCCTATAACTTCCTAGTCAGTCTCACAGCTTTCCATCTTTACCTCCCACCAATTTCGTTCTCCACACAGCAGTCAAAAATACTGCTAAAAGTAAGTCATTCTTTTGGTCAGTGGCTACCCATTTCATTCAAAGTAAAAACACATCAAGGCCAGCAAGGGATGCATTAACATGAAATGCAAACATGTGGATGATTACATTAAAATCACAATAACAACATCCTACACCAATCTGTAATGAGGAATAGTGGAAAGAATAATGATTTGGGGATCAGGAGATACAAGATTTAGAGGAAATATTGCCACTAATTAGGTTATGGGATAAGTGCTGAACTTTGAACCATAATATTGGCGGTTCAACTCCACCAGCCGCTCTACTGGAGAAAGATGAGGCTTTCTGCTCCCACAAAGATACACAGCTTTAGAAATCCTATGCAGGGTCACTGTGAGTCAGAACTGATCTAACAGCATTTTATAACAACAATTATGTTACAACCTAACCTCTTCAGGTCTAAGTTTCTTTGTCTACAAAAGGAAACTATTGGGTAATTCTGATCATTATTTTATTTCTGCTTAGAAAAGTGATTATCCTAGAAAAACAAAACAAAACACTTTCCTTTGGTGCTTTTCATTATAAAGAAAGAACATATTTAAGAGGATGGAAAAAATATAAAAGAATCACGAAAAGAAAATTTTAATATGTGGACAAAACTGCAAATGCAAATTTAAAAGTTCCCAGTGGAAGTGAGATTTTATTTCAGGGAACTAAAGAATACAGGCAGTGAAGAAGAGTAGAAGGAACACTAAACTGTAACAAGAGACCTGAGTTTACCAGTAAAACTCACTGTGGGAGCACACTGAAGCCCCTCAGTTAGTTTAAGTCTCAGTAACCCCAAATGGAATACTTTAGTGGTTTCTGAACGCTGGTCAAGCAGTACAAGTATCACAGAGTCTTAGTCTGATGCATTGGTCAAGGTAAGGCTGAGGACCACTTCTATTATGGTGCAATTCTAATTGTTCAAATTATGTCAAAATCTGACTCAAAAATATGAACCTTTTGTCAATTTCACTTTTGTCAATTAACTATGATTAATTAATATTAAATGTGGCGCTGTGGGTTAATGCGCCAGACTGCAAAGCGGTTTGAACTGCAAGGTTGGCGGTTCAAGCTCACCAGTTGCTCCTCGGAAATCCTACACAGAGTCACTATGGGTCGGAATTGACTCAACGGCACTTAACAACAGAGACATAAGTTCTGGTGTAGAGCTGGAGGATAAGCACTTGATCACAAGGTCAGTTTGAACAGCAAGGCTGGTGGTTCAAATCTACCAGCCGCTCCTCAGAAAACCCTATACAGGGGATACAGGGTCTTTCTGAATTGGAACCGACTTGATGGCATTTAACAACAACAACAAATATGTTTTCCCTTAGTTTCTCAGGACTTTAAGTCTTCCTCTTACAACCAGGTTTCTGGATGACACTGTTCTAAATACAACTACAAAATAATACCGAATTCCCTCCCCCTCTTGTGACACTATCCTACAAGTTTTAATATTTTATTGACCAACAAATAATGAAGATGATCTAAATAAAATAAGTCAGAGAACATGTACAATTTCTAAGTGTTACTATGAAACGTGATTAAAATTCTTCAGTGGAATAAACTTTTACTCTGCTTTTAATTTTAAAACTCAAGAATACTTTCTATATTATTTTTGAATACTTGATTATAACATCTTTTTTTAAAA